ATATCATACAGAAACAAGCACAAACATTTGCTTGACCAACCACAACATCAGCATAACAGTTACTGCAAAATTATTTACCTCCAACTCTCTTTGCAGAACACCCAATCCCTGTTCCCTGCATCTCCCTCCTGCATAATCTGTTTTTCTTTTTCTCCTTGTAGCTGGAAATCACCTCACAGACAATTTGCGGGCTATATATGAACACAGCAGCAACTGAATGCTACCCCAGATAGTCACGCAGTGTGAAAACAACGGCGATCCGATAAGATTGAAAATCGTGCAGTGTGAACTCGGCATAATCTGCAAATATCTAAAAAAGTTACTTGCATGCAAACCATATTGATTCTGCAGCTTTCTAAAGGAGGCAAAAGTGCCTTTTATGAATAGGTTTCCAATAGTCTGAAGACCCAAGTCCCTCCACTTTGTAAAAGCAGCATCCATTGTAGAAGGGATAAATGAAGGGTTCCCGCTGATTGGTAAAAGGAAAGACAATGGCTTTATTGCACATTTTGATTTGATCTGCTTCCAAATATGAATTGTACTATGAATTATACAGTTATGGTTATATACTAGGGTGACCATACGTGCCATTTTCCCAGGACGCGTCCAGGCCAGGATTTCTATATTGCCTAAAATATCTAGGTTTTGGCTTTGTTTGCGTGTGCAGACCGATCGGTGTATGACATCAAAGTACCATACAGACGGTTATGCTTTCGAAACGCTCTCGAGGTACTTTGATGTCAAACACTGATCGGTCTGAGCCGCACTGCTTTTAAGTCGAACACACCTAATATGTTCGCGTAATTGCATCGCTTTGACCGTAGATCCCACCTTCTCACATGCCATGATTGTTCCATTATGTACAATGCTTGCATGTTATTGGTCAAACTACTTTTCGATCATTACCTTCAGCAAGCATGAAAACAAAGCCAAAACAAATCCTGGCCAGGACGCGTCCTGGGGAAATGGCACGTATGGTCACCCTATTATATACTGACTTGTCTATCTTTATAGGAGACAGTATGACTACACCAATATCATATGGTCTACATGCCTCTCTTTCCATTTGGATCTAAGTTGAGTGTGCTACAGTATGATCTAGCCACATTATGATAGTCTGAAGAGCACAAGCATAGTAGTAAAGGGCAAAATTTGGAAGTGCCATTCCACCGACAGCTTTAGATTTACAAAGGTGTGCTTTACTTATTCTATGGGCTTTGTAATCCCACAAAAAGGGTACCAAGCCCCTTTTGAGACAAACAGTTTCACTTGGGCCATATAGTTGAGGCTATTTGAAATCTCTCTCCAGCAGTAAAGCTCCTTTCAATTTGAATGGAAAGCTCTTTAAGGGTTTAAGGTTTTTCTAAAGCATTTAAAATGAAGAAAATTGGATATAAGGGCTGCACTATTTTTTGGGTTAAATCAGTTTGATGACGATACTTGTCCCAGTAATGCATTTTCTAGAGTAAACTGGTAATACCATACGCTATGTGAAAATTTTAATAATTGCATTAAATATTTAGATTATAGCAGTAACTTTTAATACAAGTCTTCCCAAACTGGTTTTAGAAAGCTAGGACAAAGGCCCTTTTTTTCAAGAGCCAAAAGAAATCAAAGCTGGTGCACAGAAAGTTTCAGTTGAAGAATTTACCTTTGCATTTGTTTCCATTTTTTTTTCTTGTTTACATTTCAACAGATTTTCATTTAAATATAATTGATGTACTTCACTCAGTTTTGTTTTTTTCTAATTGTAATGGTATGCTTGTTTAGCCATATTTAGATATTTTGCCAATCCCATCTGAAACCATATATGGCAGAGGTCCTCTGTTAATAACTGTTACTCCAACATTATTTGGAAAATTAATACTGCCTGATGAGTGCTTTTGAAAGTGAAGTCAAGTTCTTTTAATTGTATAATGCATTTCATTCCCCCAGTTTCATTCCCCACTGTTAAAGTGTCAACAATTCTATTCAACCAGTGTAGTACAAAGGATAAGGCCCAGGCTGAATCTGGACTGCATGCTACCATACTAGTTCTTCCATAAATGATTATATGACAGAAATGGTAAAGTCAGTAAGAATTTCTGAATTCATCTTAAATTTGTGTCTACAGGTGCATCTCAATAAATTAGAATGTGGAAAAGTTCATTTATTTCAGTAATTCAACTCAAATTGTGAAACTCGTGTATTAAATAAATTCAATGCACACAGACTGAAGTAGTTTAAGGCTTTGGTTCTTTTAATTGTGATGATTTTGGCTCGCATTCACTAAAAATGTTTTTTTTTGTTGGTCTTATGAAGTATTCTAATTTGTTGAGATAGTGAATTGGTGGGTTTTTGTTAAATGTGAGCCAAAATCATCACAATTAAAAGAACCAAAGACTTAAACTACTTCAGTCTGTGTGCATTGAATTTATTTAATACACGAGTTTCACAATTTGAGTTGAATTACTGAAATAAAAGGACTTTTCCACGACATTCTAATTAATTGAGATGCACCTGTATATCCATGTTCAAAATAAGAAAAAAGACTTGAATTTTGAGAACCAATGATACATAAACTCCCACTTGTGCAAGTCTGGAGAATCATTACAGTTAATGAAGAGGGAGGAGCTATCATTAATTAGCTGAAACCTGTAGAGTACAAAAAGACCAAAAGGCTGCATTTCTACTTCGTGACTAGCTGTTGAACAATGGCTGGAAGTTTGTGTTTGGTTCAGATTTTGGCAGTTTGTGCGCTCGGTCATGCTGTTCCAAAGTGGGGTAATTTGCTACAGAACCCTCAAGCTCTGATGATTCAGCAAACTGACCAGCGGTTTCAGCAGCCAGTTCAACAACAAACTAACCAGCAGTTTAAACTGATTCTCTGCATTAACCTTTTACCTTTTGTTCCAGTGACTGTCCAGTGTATTAGAGATGGTCAGTTTGTGGTAGTGGTGTCTAGAGATGTTACTCTGCCTCGACTGAGTCTGGATTCGGTTCGTCTACTGGGTGGAAACCACCCACCTTGCGCTCCTGTGGAGTCCACGCCTTACTTTGCTATATACCAGTTCCCTGTGACCGCATGTGGCATGAGCATGATGGTGAGCAGCTGCTACTAATGTGCTGTAGCTGATTATGAGCAGATCCAATGTGGACAACCTGGGATCAGTGCTGCTGAGTGTGAAGCTATCAACTGCTGCTTTGAAAGACAGCAGTGTTACTATGGGAGGGCAGGTAAGTGTTCTCAATATTATTCCGATCATGTTGAATTGGCTCTCAGCATTAATCTGCTCTTGTGCCTCGTTCCAGTGACTGTCCAGTGTATTAGAGATGGTCAGTTTGTGGTAGTGGTGTCTAGAGATGTTACTCTGCCTCGACTGAGTCTGGATTCGGTTCGTCTACTGGGTGGAAACAACCCACCTTGCGCTCCTGTGGAGTCCACACCTTACTTTGCTATATACCAGTTCCCTGTGACCGCATGTGGCACGAGCATGATGGTGAGCAGCTGCTTCTGGTTTTATTCTGCATTGCTTATGATGGACTGGATGCTGACACTGTTCCTTTTCACAGGAGGACAGTGGATATGTGGTGTATGAGAACAGAATGACCTCTTCATATGAAGTGGGGATTGGACCGTTTGGTTCCATCACAAGGGACAGTCATTTTGAGTAAGTGATCTATGACTTGGTGTGAACGTTGTTCTCTGAAATGCTACAAGCTCACCGTCTGTTGTCCAGGTTTCTCTTCCAGTGTAGGTACTCAGGAACTTCTGTTGAAGCTCTGGTTGTGGAGGGAACTCTGTTCCTCCACCTCCACCAGTAGCTGCTCCTGGACCCCTCAGGGTGCAGCTTAGACTGGCCAATGGCCAGTGTGTCACCAAAGGTTGTGCTGAAGGTATGTTCTTGTCCCAGGTGTTCCTAATATCTTAAGGTTTCTGGTTAATCACCAGTCTTGTTCCTCAGGGGATGAGGCCTACACGTCCTACTACAGTGATTCTGATTATCCTGTAACAAAAGTCTTGCGAGAGCCTGTGTATGTTGAGGTGTGCATTATGGAGAGGTCTGACCCCAACGTTGTCCTGATGCTGGGACGTTGTTGGGCGACATCAACCCCCAGTCCACTCAGTCTCCCCCAGTGGGACCTTCTGATCGATGGGTGAGTAATGCCAATCTTTATCCAGTTAGTCTGCTGGGAGACTTTCTAACCTTCGTTCCTCTTCAGATGCCCTTACCAGGATGACCGTTACCTGACCGCACTGGTTCCAGTGACTGGATCATCTGGTCTTCATTTCCCAACCCACTACAAGCGCTTTGTTGTGAAGATGTTCACATTTGTAGATCCAGCCTCACTGGCTCCTCTGCAGGAAACTGTATGCCCCGCTTTACCTGAACATTTTAATTTTACTGCTTGTGAATTCTATGACTTGAGCCTCTTTCTTCCCTGTCAGATCTTCATCCACTGCAGTACAGAGGTGTGCCATCCATCTTCTGGCTCTTGTGAGCAAAGCTGCACCAGGAAACGTGAGTTCTTGCTCTCGACTAGAGGAACTGAGAATTTATAAGTGC